TTATGGGCCCAGATCCTATGCTCTCAAGATTGTAATCTGTGAGGGCTGGTGACAATAAAAGGGCGGTCATTTAAATTCTAAATTAAATAGTAAGGATTCCTTAGCTGCTCCTGGGATTTTTGAAATAAAATGAATTATTCGTGGTGTTAAGCCTTATTATTTGGCACACACTTCTTTACTGGGAGTAAAAATACGGGGTTCCCCCCCACCCAACTGGGGCCTTCCCCCACTGACAAATTTGTGTAAAGTTTTTTTTCCCTTGCCATGTTTTCACACTGCCTTAATTTGAACCAGATTAAATTGTGCAGTTAATAGTGGTAAAGTGGTATTTTTTTCTCCTTTATTCCTAGACCAATTAAATATAAACTTGAAGTGTGCAAAATCTGATAGGCTTTATCAGCTGTTATCTTGCAACAGGTTAGAAGCAGCATATTTAATGTTACTATAATTTTCTACTTAAGTCATGTAAAAGTTGGTCAGCAGTGGGGAATGGCATTTAACAAGGTGATGGTGCTGTGCATCCATTGTAAAGGCTGCCCAAGTGACAGTTGTAGGTGCAATGGTTGGATGATACTAGAAAGCACTATAAATTATTAGTGAGAAAATTAAAATTGCCTAAGATTACATTTTAATAGTTTCTATAGACTTCAGCTGTGTGTGCCTTTGAATCATTTTTAATCCCTGTTGACTGCCCAGGTAAATCTTGTCATTCATTGTCTGCTTCCTAGCCTTGTGAGAGGGGGACTGGCCCAAACTCACTCAGCTTGCTTTGGGCCAAAATAAGAATTTAGTGTTTCCCAATTTGTAGCCTGATGCCTTAATTGCTATATCAGACTGACTGCTGGACTTGCCTTGATGCTTTGAAGCAAAATTCCATCATATGGCAATCTAACCTCAGATGCTCACCCAATGATTTTAACAGCAGCCTTGTAAAGAGGAAAGTATCTCCCTAATAGGAACTGTCCTCAAAATGTGTCTGAGCATTACTTGAAAGCTAATGTCATCCTACCCTTTTGTGTTAACATACCCCCAAACAGGATGGATTTCAACCCTAAAAAAAGGATCTCATGGGTTTTGTGCTTTACAGTCTCATAACCGTGGAACATTATTTGTAAATGATTTTGGAAATGCAATAAAAGGACAATACAAAAATATTAATAAATATGCACCTGTACCTAGAATGGGCTAGTACTGGCTAGTATGGAGGTTTCAGTAGCCCAGTATACAAACCCAGTAATAGCTGCAAGAACTTCATTTTCTATTTAATGGGTTAAAGGCACAAATTATTTTTTAAAAAAACATGTCAAAAAGGTTTGTATATTGGATCTCAAAGCAAGAGCTCATGTTCAATTGAATTCTATGCCTAGCCTATTGAATTCTACATATGATGCAGTTACGATACAGGATTCTTTAATTAGCATATGAGTACTAACAGATATTACAGAAATCAGTGTGTCGTGTAAAAGTGTGTGTGTGTGTGTGTATTGCATGTGAATATGTATATGGGTAAATTGTATTTTTAAGAATAGAACTATCACATGGAAAAGTAATGAAAGTTATGGATATATATGCTATACAGGCTGCTATACACACACACACTTTTGGTCTGCATTTAAATAATAAATAGTGCAAGAAAACATATGATGCATTGACATGCCCATAATCACATTAGCAGTCTAGTATATTTGTGGCATGCCTAGGTTTAGTGACACATACTATAATTCAAGATACACTTGTAGAAAAATCTACCAACAGAATGGATTATGATTAATAATCTGGTTTTCAACCAATGCAATCTAACTGAATTGCACCAGCTAGAGTAAATAAAAGTTTAACTTATTTAAAGATTGGGAAAAGTCTATTTCTAACTACAAGGCCAACTTCAGACAATTTTTAATTTGAAGCAAAGATAAATTGTTCTAAGAAGTTAACAGAAGTAGATAGATAGATAGATAGATAGATAGATAGATAGATAGATAGATAGATAGATAGATAGATACACATACACTGAACAGTTCAAAATCATTCAGAAGCAAACTGATTTAAGTGATAGTTCTTTTAATATTTATATTTTTTATATATTTTGCTAAAGTTATAAGTATTTTAAAGTTTTAAATCGCCTTTGCAATCTCCATTACAATTGATTCATAATGTCATGAATCCATATATCTTTCTCTGGTACTGATGTGTCCACCAAATACACAATTACTTTGCGATCCCATTGATTAGTCCCTTCAATAATCTTTTCCACCTGGGCCACTAGAGGTTTCTGCTCCACATGGTTTCGGAAGACTATTGAAGCTTCCTCTGACCACTGTTGCCATTCTATTCCTAGGGGAAAGCAGCAAAAAATAAAATTAAACAAAATCATAAATCATCACAATAAGTTTTAGAACTATTTAAATCCGTATGCTCATTAAATGATTTTGAGGTCCTTAATTTGGAGCATGAAGGAAAATACATCCTTTCCAGAAAACTGGCCTTCCTGCCTAATACTGTAACTTATATTCTGACTTGTGTACAATTATGGTTAATTAACTTGGTCAAGAAACTGGAGAAATAATATTAATCAATAATGAGATACTGCACTGTATATTTTAGATCAGTATTATAATGCATTATTAAAATGCCCACTGTTAACTATGTAAAGTACTTAAGAACAGCAATATATCTTGTGAGGGAGGGTTTATGTACATGTATGTGTATGTATGCATGCATGTATGCATGTGCATGAGTCAGAATGATGAACCTTATGACAGTCCTAATTCACGTACACGTGAAAAGGGTTGAGCTTGCAAGGTGTTACTGCAATGTTGCTTTCGTCATTTCAATGAAAGCTGCAAGATCTAGCAGACTCCACTGAAAATTATTTTCAGGAAAATGGGAAAATAGTTTAGAACATTGTTTATAGGAGCAGGACACAATGGTCAAGATTTGGGGGGGGGCAAATGGTCAGGTCATGAAATCCATTGGCCTCAAATGTGTGTATGTGTGTCTGTCTTGTTCAACATTCTCACTTTTGCAATTACTATTTTAATATATCAGAACAACATACCTGCAAGTTGGGCTGTTATGGCCTGAAATGGCAGCTCTCTAAACATATCCACAAGAGGTCTTATATTTTGGATGCCAATCAGCTCATGTTTACCATAGTCCAGCTCATACACTGTCACCAGTCCATTTGCCAACAATCCTTTTATTAATACTCTGTGCCATCTAAGAAACAAACAAGCAAAAAAAAGAGGATAGGACTCTACTCACCTAAAATGGAATAAATAGATTCATAGAAAGTAAGGGGTGGACTTGATGCCTCTGAGAATACAATTCTTAGATATTAGTGTATCAAAACGTCCTCTGTGACTCCCCAACTCGGAGTTGCTGACCTGGACCATTTGGCAAAAAAGAAAAGAAAAACCTTCCTCCCCTTTTCTTACTTAGAGTGAAAGATAAAGGATCACTTATAAAAAAAGCAAAACAAAATAATAATAATAATCTCCCATTTCAGGAATGTTTATCCTTTATGGGTATCTCAAACTATTTGCACAAAAGATACACAGCTCTTTGTGTATATATATATTTATTCTCCTTTCTTTCCTAGAAAACCTATGGAATCTTAAAAAACAAGAAAGCAGAAGGCCAAGACTAGTTAATAAAGCACAAAGCACAAAGGAAGAAAACTACTGTAATGTCAGAAGAATATATATAATCTTGTAAATTAAATTGTATCTTCAAATTTAAGGGAAATATCCTTGATACTACAGTAAATATTTGTAGCAAACAGGAAGGGAAGAAAGATTGTCTCCCATTTGGAAGATGGTGAGAAAGTATTGGAACAGATAATCTTTGACTTGGACATCAAAATTGCTCTAATAACTTTGGAGGACATGAAAACTGAATCTAGCTATGCCAAATCTCAGTCCCATTGAAATAAATAGATTGGAGATTAAACTAGCCTCATTTCAAACCATGTTAACGGAATATAATTCCCAGATACAGGATTGTGGTACTTATAAAAGTTGCTTACTTGTTTTTCACTTTAGCTGCATAGATTTTGTTTTTTTCAACAGCAACAGCTCCATCTTCTGTTGTGTTATAATACAGAAGCATCTCTTCCATCAGCATTTCTAACTTGTGCATCTCTTGCCAGGACTGGAGGATAAAGTAACCCGGGTGGCATGCCAGCGCAACAAAAACATCCATCTGTTCCTGGGATTGGACAAGTGGCAGGGCTGGTGGCATATTCACAGTGTTTTCCATCTTGCGGGATTCCAGAATATGAGGAACTGTATCTGTGGTGCTCTGCTTGGGCCCTAAAGTTGACCGCATCGGTAAATCTGTTTCCCTTCTTCCAGGGAGATTACTGAGAGAGACACTCAAAAAAACATCCTTCTGATGCTTCCACAAGTCAGCATTGGTGATCTGCCTATTTATACTGCGATCGGGGTCTGGAAAATTCTTCGGTGTAAACAGATAGATGTGTGCAATTTGGTTATCCAGTTTAACCACCTTATTGAGAGAGAGAGAGAGAATATTGCAATGATGAAAAATTATGTATTGATTAGAACAATAGCATAGAGAGCTTTAATTCTTTGTACCAGAATTATGCTAACAAGACAAATGATTAAGATAATACAAAGCAAACATATAAACCAAGTCACTAATTCAAGAAGGACTAGGAGTGATATGATAGCTGTGTTCCATTATCTAAGGAGCTGCCACAAAGAAGAAGGGGTCAACCTATTTTCCAAAGCACCTGAAGGCAATACAAGCAACAATGGATGGAAACTAATCAAAGAGAGAAGCAACCTAGAACTAAGCAGAAATTTCCTGACAGTTTGAACAATTAACCAGTGAAAACACCTTGCCTCCAGAAGTTGTGGGCGCTCCAATACTGGAGATTTTAAAGACGAGATTGGACAACCATTTGTCTGAAATGGTATAATGTTTCCTGCTTGAGCAGGAGGTTGGACTAGAAAACCTCCAAGGTCCTTTCCAATTCTGTTTTTCTGTTAAGAAATTATGATAGAACCATTTTGG